CACAAACAGAACTGCCCAGTAAACCGTAGGCACAGAGAGAGTACAAGACAACACACGAGTCATACATACAGATACATTTGTCGCGAGTCGAAGATTTATATTACATGTCTATTTGTATATAAATATTGTATTACATAATATTCTATTACATATAATATTTATGTACAAATATACAAATAATATAAATCTTCAACTTTCGATACATATATATATATATGGTAACCGGCGATCGGGACGGGCCAAACGCCCGAACCCGAACGCCCGAACGTACGGGACCCTTTGGGGATGCGTTCGGTCGTTCGGGCCGAACGCGGACCCACAAAACAAATACGTGGGCGAGCACGTTTTGACACTGCCATCTATGGCGATTTGTAATACTTATTTGGCTTAGCCAAATAACTTCACATTTTACAGGCATGTACCTCACGTCACAGAGAACTCGCAAAAAAAAAAAATCAGAAAAAAATAATTAGTTTTAGTCCCCGAAACAATTTTAGGCGGGGGCCGAACGGCGTCGGGTTCGGACCCCGTAAGGGTATATATATCGTCACAAACAGAACTGCCTGGTAAACCGTAGGCAGAGAGAGAGAAGAGGACAAGAAACGAGGGGCTGTGACATATATATATATATATATATATATCGTGCATGAACGGTGCGCGACGTCATCCTCGACCCATAATGTGTGATGTGTTCACGACTCTTGTTTTTTGTTTTGTGTTTCCAGATATCACGTCGCTCAGTCTGTGGCTGTGTCATGAATCCTCATGATGACCGAAAAAAGTTTTCGCTCCATGACCGTATGCGCCGTATGCCACCATGCCTAACGGACGGCCTTGACAAGTCAATTGCAGAAGGCAATGAAGGCAAATATGACCTCGACGACATAGATAAACATATGGAGTATGTGACAAACGACCTCAACAACGCACGTGCTGTGCTATCGACATCGTATTCCCGGGTGCAAACAATTGTGTCGTTCTTGCGGAAAAAAAAAATGGAATTGGATAACCGGGAGGCTCTTTGCACAATACGTGAGCAACGGCTGTTGTGCGAGGAGGGCAAGCCACGTGTCGATTCCACTAGCCATTTGACTCCGTTCCTTGTGTCGTGCCGCGACATTCATGGCTGCACTGAAGTCCAAATCGATTTCTCTTTGCCACAAGCTGCGGCCTCCCTATCAGGAAGCACGACCCAGATGCCCGACTCAGTCAGTATATCCCGGGGCAACTCAGGGTCGTATGTTTCCGTGTCGTGTCGGGTTCGGGTCATGACGAGGAGCATAACTCTGTTGGCTGCGAAGGATGAAATTCTCAAGAGTCGAAGAAACAGAAACAGTTCGGTCGTTGTCCCAGACCCTCGAACTTGGACTCGTGGATCTAGATGAAAGCCTAGTGCTCGGAAATAACAACCTCGACGATGTTGGAGTTGTAATATCAAAGTTGAAGCCTCGAAACGGTGTGTGGAGGCTTGTCGTTTGTCCGCTATACTCTATCTGCAAGATCGAACCTTTTTATGGATATTTGATTCCCATGTTCCGCGCACCGACACTGACTTCCATTGCATCTGTTGCGGATACTCACGACGCGACACTATAATGGAGCAGCCACAACCTCAAGCACCCATCAATGAAGATGATGGGGACATGGTGTACGGCTGTCGACCAACACGTAGAGTTGTGGGCGGTCGAGGGGGCCCCGGGCTTGGGCCAGCAGTCGTCGCGACACATCGCCCATGACCTCCTCCCCCGCAAATGAACGGGGATGAAGTACGAGCAACATGGCCGCATCCTGTGTTTTTGGTTGAGACCGCAGTACAGATTGTCGGTGAGGAGGACCGCAATAAGCAGTTTTTGCATATCCTCGTTGGAAACGATCAATTGGACGCGGTGGCCAACAGATTCGCAGGGTACAGGGAGTTCGCGAACCTCTGCGGTTACACTCGCCGTCAGAGACTGCCGGTGGAATTCGAGGAGGCGATGCGTATGAGGTGGCCTAACCCGCATAACGATGGTTACTTCGGCTTTATTCCTGATCCACGCGCTCCGGCCGATAATGATAACCCTCGCCCTGGGTAAATGCTAGAGAGAGAGAGAGAGAGAGAGAGTCGTTGCTCCATTTTAACTAAGGTTAGGGCAACGGAGTTGATATGTGCTCAACAGCATGAATGTGAATCATGTTGTTCATCACATATCAGGTCCGTTATCCTAACCTTCGTCAAAATGGAGCGTGTGTGCTGATGCCCGCCGCCTTCTCTGGAGTCAGAAACTTGAGACTTGAGGAGGAGGAGGAGGAGAGAGAGAGGGAGAGAGAGAGAGAGAGAGAGCACAACACGGGACTTTATATGTGGTGAACAACATTACTGTTCTTCGTGAATCATCTCTAGCATTATGTTATCGACCTCTCTCTGTCACACACACATCTCTCTCTCTCTCTCTCTCTCTCTCTCTCTCTCTCTCTCTCTCTCTCTCTCTCTCTCTCTCTCT